AAACTATGCTGTTACGAGCTATGATATAATTGAGCTATCCCTGAGCCTCATAAAATTAAGATGTTCTTCAGGAAATCAGTGATGAGGACTCATTCAAAAACTTTATTGGTAAGCTTTCGCTGTGCTAACAGCTTCTTCAGACCTAAACATACAAATCAAGCATAACATACGTACGCTAATTCTTAGAGCATAAAGCTATACGAACGTACTAACCGGGCAGTCAACAGCAATTCGGTAACTGCAATACAACATAGTAACGACTACTGCTAGTAACATCAACAGAAGAACGGCTTACCCCGACGTATGTTATGCTTGATTTGTATGTTTAGGTCTGAAGAAGCTGTTAGCACAGCGAAAGCTTACCAATAAAGTATTTTGAATGAGTCCTCATCACTGATTTCCTGAAGAACATCTTACACACATGAGGCTCAGGGATAGCTCAATTCTATCATATCTGAAAAAATTAGGTTAAAGCGTGCGATTTCGGAGAGTAGAGACAAATCGATCGATAGAATAGGATGGCAGTAGAAGTGTGAGATGTGAATGCAACCAAAGGCCAGAAAGAGTTACTAGTGACGGCAGTACGAATTTGTGACAGATGTCCGGCGGTGATTTGAACGCGTAACAATTTGTGACAGATGTCCGGCGGTGATTTGAACGCGTTTTTTTTTATTAAAACAAATGCAATTTTTTTGTTCTTCTCGTTCTTATCGTGAACGATGGGTCCCAATCCAGTGAGCTATGGGTGAAATAGCATCGCTTTTTTCCGAAAAGATTCCAAAGTTAACATTTTCGGAACGTACTCTACCACAAAATGCTTTCCCACCTGTCCATCTCGATTCCACAAGGTGAAACCATCATATCGAACTGCTTCGCTGTTGGAAATGTCCATCCCCCAAACGGAACAAAGTCGTCGAAATTCGGAGGACTCGAATAGAAATTCAGATAATCGTCTGATATGTAATACCTGCAAGCAAGAGCAGTTGACAGTGAAGGCATCCTCGTTGAATCTCACGATCCATACGCGTGATAGTGGATCATTGTTTTAACACACTTTGGACTACGCGAATTTTCAGTGCTTTCAACTAAAGTAAACTTATGCTGAAACGCACCAACGGACATGTCAGAGGATTTTGACCCCATTGGGAACTGTCGGAACCTTGTTTGTTTCCAATCAACCAAGCGAAAATCTTCGCGTATATCCTGTGCATTTGGAACATGCTCGAGAAATTCCAATCTTCCACTCCAAAACTCGTGAATAAAGTTTGTTCCCGATCAATTTTGGTTGGTGTCGGTACCATAATGAAATACAGTAGCGGTAAGGAGTTTGGAAAACTTTCACCGCAGCCAAAAACCACGAATAAGCCGGCTTCAGCCTCAGCGAAGCAACCGTTCTCGGTGGATAGAGATGCGAGATCTGCCGGGTACCCCCAGGAGGCCCGTCGCGCGGCAAAAAGGCAAAGTCAGCGGACGAGTCGCGCGCGCACTATAGGGATTTCGCGTCAAGTTAAAAGAGTGTCCCATTGCACGCCCTGCATCGCACGAGGTAAGCAAACCAGCCCTTTTGGCGTTTCGGCTGGGACCGTATGCTGAATGTTGGGGAGGGGATGGGGTCCCCAACGGTCGACGGTTTACTTCAACTCGGTTGGTACGATAGGAGAGTACTGACGCAAGTGGTGCAGCTGGTCCAGCAGCTCCGCCAGGGCTGGTTTGCTCACCCCAGGACTAAGCCTTGGAGAGGGGACGGACCCGTCCTCTCTTTAAGGCTTAGTTCTGAGGTAAGCACCAAATTGTGGCGGTTCTAAGGACCGAGTTGAAGTGGTCCGTCCACCGTCGGGGACTCCATCCCCTCCCCAACATTCAGCATACGGTCCCAGCCGAAGCGCCAAAAGGGCTGGTTTGCTTACGTCGCATGCACACCACGCGCTGCAACTCGTCCGACGACTTTGCCTTCTTGCCGCGCGACGGGCCTTCTGGGGGTACCCAGATCTGCCGCTACAGAGGTGGCGCCACCTTCGCACATCGAAACGCGTCACTAAGATGCTAGGCGCTAAGGACTTTAATCAGATCCACCAAACCATCGGGTCCGCCCACCGTTCGATATCTTATCTGCGTCGCAATGTTGATCTGCATGCTCTCTTACTCTGGCTTCTCTTATCCTCTCAGCGACCCCGCGCGTCTGCCCCTTGCAAGGGTGGTCCTTCACAGTGTGGGGCGCTTTCCCAAAAAGGTTCCCTGATGTTATAGAAGCTGATGTGTGTGGACTACGAAACCGAGGTTCATTTCCGCTGAGCTGCACCGTTAAGGATAAAAAAGTGGTGAAAATGTTCTTTCGCATTTCAGTTTGAGGCGTCCAGATTTGCACGAAATAGCGCCTGCGCCTGTTATATTATAGTAGGTATTAAATCCGTTACCTATACTACCGTAATCTACACATTGGAATTTTCACCGAGGGCTGAAAATTTTCTCGTGGCAAAAAATTGTGGCGCCAAAACGGTAACAGATTCTGCCGAAGTATCGTAAGATGGAGATATCGTAGGAATTGGATGTCATTCTCGTAATCAGGTCATTGGCGGTTCCTCAAAGTAAAAGTTTCAGAGAAGATTGCGATTTTGACCTAATTCCGAAAAATTGGCTACGATAAGTCGGTAGTAGACCGTTTTGAAAAAGAGCACAACACCCAACGATTGAACGACCTCTCTTAATAAACTTCTCTGCATCGCAGAGCAAGAAGGCTATTTCCTGTTCTCGACAACTTTCTCTCCTTTTTCCCTACTCTCAGTCCATTCGCAACCCTACATTCATATTTGAAAGGGTTTACCACATCAAATCCATTCTCATGGCAGCCGTTAAAGGAAGCGATAAAGATAAAGAGGGAGAGGGGCTTACATGCGTCACGTGAAGCAGTAGCATGGCTGCCAAGGAAGCTTCTACGACGACAGGTGCACTGGTTGTTGAGCAGTTCTTGAAAAGCATAGGACGGAAGCATACAGTGCGCGTCAATTGTATATGCCACCCCCTGATTTTTTCAGTTTTCTGACTTATTTGGAAATTTCGTAAATCGGCATAGCAACCATCGTTTTCGGCGTGTCGGAAAACTAAGAATGGTGTTGTTTGATTTTGGTTAACGCGTGGATTTGAATTGCTCTGTTCTTTTGAAGAAAATGGGCCGCGTCAATTGCTTATGCCATCCTAAAGTTTCTTCAGAATTTCTCATGTCTCTAACGCTATTCAGCTACGGTGTGCATGTAATACAAATGAGGAAATCCTCCACTTATGCAATGCACACAAATGGTGGAGCATTTATAACTAATTAGTTCGGAATATTAGCCCTATACTGGACGGTAGCAGCATGAAAACGCTTTATCAGAGAAAGTGCTGTGTGCTCACTCTTGCGATCGCTCCTGCTGCTTATTGTAGAACTCATCGAGGAGTGTATCCAGGCAAAACTGGGGAAATTTGAAGTGCTCAAGGAGCTCTCAAATTCACATTTTCCCGCATTAATCCGTGGTCAACTTTATTTGTGATCTCAGCTCCCGCGAAGTTCGAAGCGTTCACGCTCAGAGTCTCTGCTCCAGAAGAATATGACTCGTACTACATCATATGGTACCCTATGCGAAGTTGATCGGATTCTCTCTGGAAAAATTTTCGTACCAAGTGAGCGAAAATCATGACGGGCCAGTTGTAACTTGAACGGGACACCGAGGTGGTGGCATGGGGCGCGTCAGTTGCAAGTGTCTTCACTTCGTAGAATTAGAAATGGTGCAGACGGAATGGCAGGTCGCGAGTCATATTTCTTGCTGAGGCAGAGACTTCTGAACGTGGAAAAACGAGGAAAACCTGAAAATGGGTTTTCTGTCGACAGAACGCTTCACAAATTCCAACCTTCATTTCCGAAAAGGCAGAAATCGTCTCGATGCTGAGCACAAATTTTCACTTCTCACGCTGCCGTTAACCTGCGTCAGCCAATCAGGAAATCCAGCTCGCAGAGCTCAACAACGGCTTTTCGCTGGAAGATCTTCCTTAATATCTGTCAGATACTTGTCGACATGGGGAAGCATTTCGATTTTCATTGAACTGAACGGTAAACTAGAAAACAATGGGTTTTGGTTGAGGACCTCGTGAGAGGAGGAGGGGGGTGCAGAATTAGACGGACAACAACGGCCGCCGGAACGGCTGTTACAGTAATCCGCCGCCGCAACAAGTCGATGCCACGTGGCATTCGGCATGCCTCTTTTGTCGTTTTTCTGCGCACTCCACGACGACAGTGTGGACCATACGGAGCCCGTCCATTGTACGAAGCACCTGAGCTGTAGAAGGGTGAATGTGGCAACGTGTCGAACTGATTCGCCGGCATGTTGGACTCCCTTACCGCTTGCGCGCGAAGCGCGCGCAGCGTTCGCCTCGCCGCTCCCGCGGCGAGGCATGTGCTGCATGTATTTTTGGATAGTCGCCCGCGATAAGGGTGGCTTTGGTGACAAGATATCGGATATCGCAGTCCATGGAGTGACGTTCACCATCTAATTCGCGGTCAGAGCCGGCGGCCACAAGGTTACGGTAAGCAGTCGTGATCGACGCTTTTTATTATCTGTCTTGTTGGGTGCAGGATGGGTTAACCACTTTATTCGGATTTCATGGAGAGAGCAGTTCTTGTTCGCGGCTGTCTTTTGTAAAGGGCGTTCTCTACGTGCTTTTTTCGCCTCCGAAAATATGAATACGAAAAATTATTCTAAGGCTTCAGTAGAGAATCATGAAGAAGCGAACTCATTCTAGTATTCCGGAATGTAGATATGCTTAACGGGTAGCTGGACTAGCAGGGGATACAAACTTGGGAAATAGAACTTGTAAAGATGAGAACAATAAAAGCCAAACATCTCCTCTGCTATTTCATTGAAAGAAATCGTATTTCCCAACTATAGTTAGAATTTATAGAATTATTCTGTCCTTTGGGTTCTGTCCATTATTCTTCTATTATTCAAACCACTAACTTGGGGTGTCGGTTTTTATTATGTTGTCCCATAATGAATCAGTTTGGGTATTTTTGAACTCAAATTTTTTTCTCTTTATGTGGATTCTCTGCTCATCCAAACATACACCTCTGCCATCTACAACGTATTACCTGCCTACACAAGGGAAATTACCGCTGTCGTTTCTCTAGAATTCCAAGAGCTACTGATTGAAGAAAGATCGGAAGTCGAGTTTGAGGTCATGTCACGTAGCGTGAAATTTCTTCCCAGGATGAAGCGCTAGAGGTTAGGCTGAGTTGTTTTTTGTTGGAGGCAGGAGGATAGGGCCACACGCGAGGGTGTAAAGAAATGTTTAGCCTGGGTAAGTCTCCAATCGTTTTATGAACATTCTCGCCAACTGCGGTTCGACATCAGGAAAAGACTCTCGTAGTGCGTCGACCTTTCAAATGGAACGCGTTCATTAGATACGTCTGCATGGCGGCGATTCAGCGCATGGTCGCTACTTGTGTCCCCTGAATCTCTCGGAAGGGCAGACACGAAGGAGGTTTGGCTTTGCTGTCAAAACTCCCGAATCGTTCGAGCTAGGCTACTGTTCCTTGTGGATTTGCTAATGCACTCCACCCACTACAGAACCCTGGTAATGCGGAGATCATTGTAAGTGATAAGGGAGATTCAGTAAGGAAAATGATTAACGCTAAGATGTGTAGTGTGAGTTGTTTCGGGCTTCAAGATCATACAAGATATTATACAAACTCCATACTTTAAATATTTACTACTCTACGTAGATGTCTACATTGCATCATTACAACAAGTCGGATATGCTCTAACAAATAGCCGCTAGTTTGTCCAGATCCACCCTCAGAGGCGCTGGGTAGGAGAACAATCCTAGTCGAAGAGAACTTCAAGTGATGGGTCATTCCCAGATAAAAAAGACAACACTGGAATAGAGTGGACCATAGTTGCACTGTGGTCTGAGCGAGCGTGCCCTCGCCTATCTGCTGGTTGATTCTCTATGTTGTTGGGCGTTTGAAAGATCCTAATCAGAAGTGATTAAGAAGGGAGCTCAAAAATAGGTTCCAGAAAAATTGAAAGTATCAGCCACGGAAGGCAGCATGTAAATGGGCTGAGTAATTGCTCAGGTAGGATAATGTGGATGCTACTTCGCAAAACATGTTTCACGCCTTCACCATTTTTCTTGGATTTTTTATAACAATAAATGTAAAGTGATTCACTAATTATGGGACAACCTAATATGTATGTGTGTCTGTATGTATGTATGTATGTAAGTATGTATGTATGTGTGTCCGTCCGCAAAATGAAGTGAGTGAGAAGGAAGCTCATGGGATAAACAAACCGCTAACAAATCGGGTAGCTACAGGATTTGAGATATCAATGTTTTGTAGCAGGATAATTGTGATAACACTCCTACGGCTATATAAACACTGCTGAGCACACTTCTGGTCGTTCCACATGGGGGTGTCCCCCAACAGGCCCACCGCGCGGCGAAGGAAGAGACGCAGACGCGGCAAAGGGACGAGTCGCAGCGCATACTGTAGCGGTTAGGCGTCAGGTTAAAGAGAGTGTACCATACTACGTCTCATATCGCACAGCACGCGCTGCAACTCGTCTCTTTGCCGCATCTGCGTCTCTTGCTTCGCCGCGCGGTGGGCCTGTTGGGGGACACCCTCCACATGGTGCTGCAGTGGCAGCTGGAGGGCAGTGGAGGGGAAGGGAGGATGGGGAAGGGAAGCGAAAAATCTACCGTCATATCATGATTGTGTCCCTTCTACTGTATGAAACACCATTGTGTTGCATACGCGTCACTTCCACGAGGTGTTGGTGTCACAGGAGGAAGGGACCACAGCGAAAGGCATAAAGCTCACGCAGAAGTGGTTTTGGCTGCGCCAGGTCAAAAACATAAAAGTTACTAAACTTTTGACCGCCTCAGTAGTTACCACAAGATCAAATCATGCCGCATATTATGTTGTCAAAACTCGTTGCCTTGAAAGTATGCGTACGTCGCGTCCCTGATCTAGCAAGACACATCCTACTAATACTTACTTTCACTTTTTCAAACAAATTATGTTAGGAACCATGTAGGAGACTTACCAGAGCTGGACGTTTCTGATGGTGGCGTTGCCAACGATCCAGTTCCAACTGTTGGAGCTCGTGTAGATACCAGCAGTCAGACCATATATCTACAGAGAATCTCGTCATTGCTACATTGTCGGAATGGAAATGTACAGGGTGCGGCAAAAGATCTGGCAAAATCCCGTTTCAGGTCCTCCATAAGAAATGAGGCCTTCGATCTCGACAGGATCTGTGCCACTATTTACTGCAAGTCTTCTTCTATACATTCCATGAATTGGCCGTTCTTAAATATGCCATTTTACAGAATGGTGACAAGCAAAGACCAACGAGCCTCCATCCTGCACCTCCATCTGGCTGGATGCACTGCAAAGACCAGCTCCAGATTTCCCTTAAGAACCGTGTACAACAACGTCAACAGGTACAAGGCGACAGGAACTATGGAGGACAAGCCTAGAAGTGGAAGACCGAAGAGTGCAACGACAAAGGAGATCGTGAAAATCATTCGAGAGAAAATCCGCCGCCACCCTCGTAGGTCCGAGAGAAAAATGGCTCTTGAGGTGGGTATTTCTGCTCGATCTGTTGGAAGGATTGTCACCAGCCACCTTCGACTTCGCTCTTATAAGATCAGAAAAGCTCACATGCTAACTGAGCGTATGAAGAAAACTAGGCTCGAAAGATGTAAGGAGCTTTTAAAGCGATTTTCGCAGGCACGGCACAGCAACATCCTTTTCACTGACGAATGTCTGTTTCAACAGATCAATTCCTGAACACCCAAAAAGATAGGGTGATAGCGGAAAGCCCTGAAGAAGCCAGCCA